ATTACATTATAATAGAAAACGCAATGAAAATAAATGAGGAATATATCATATTACCTGGACCGCAAGTGACACAAAAGTTCGCTGAAGGCGCAGTTTCTGTGCCGCAGTTTAAGCAAAACATCTTTCACTCATTGAATGCCGCCATACTGGATTTGCCCCCTGGCCCAACATTCTTTGCGAGAACCTTGGGTTCCAGGCTTCCATCCTCCAAGGTCAGTTACGTGTATCTGTTTTTGCCGTGAGTTTTTGCCTTTGCTATGAAGCATTTGCTTTTGCCGTGAAGTATTTGGTTTTGCCATGAGGTATTTGCTTTTGCCGTGAAGTAATTGCTTTTGCCGTGAGGTATTTGCTTTTGCCGTGAAGGGTTTGGTTTTGCCGTGAGGTATTTGCTTTTGCCGTGAAGGGTTTTGGTTTTGCCGTGACAGTTCTGGGCCATTGTAGGTGTTAGCAGCCTTACCAAGTCAAATCACCTTAACTTACCAAAAACGTCCAGTATATTCCCAAGATATTCATTGGTTAGAGAATTTTCTCGACACCCTTGAATTTCTGTCCACAGGGCAAAGAGTGCTGTCTATAGCAAAGAGTTGTTGTTCACGTCTAGTTAGCTGCCATAGGGTTGCGTTGTTTTCAAAGGAAAGAGAAACATGTTGCATATCTTATACTTAAATGGACGATATACAATTCTTGGCCAGAATAGATCACATGAAAAAACTGCTTACCGTATCAGTAAGCCATCCATCTATGAAAGTGGGATCGAGGCTTCAATTTTCTTTGTTTCCTTTTCAGAAAGTGTACAAAGTTTACCAGGAGAGAGAGTGGTCAGCTGATCGGACAGTAACTCTGAACGGTCCTACTTGAAGTTTACATTCTCGTAAAGGTGTGTGCTTTTACAACATCTTGATCTGAGTAACGGCATCCATTTTTTTTCTGTTTTCAAATGTCCTTATTCCCTATCTGGATTCATTTATTCGTTCTTATTAATGAGGCGGGGTACAAAGAGAGTGTGCAATCGTTAATATTCTAAGTAAAGAAAGTTTTGTATATAATTCTTTCTTTATTCAGTTTTCGAATTGACAGTCATTGCCAAACCAGCCAATGGTTGTTTAATTTGCATGTTTGGGTTTCATTTACTTACAGATCTTTCAGTGTTCAAGTTTTACTATCAAAATATAATTTTATTGATTGTACAAAACGTTCAATACGCTGTATAGTCAGGTCGCTTAGTATCAGTATCGTTACTGGCTGGATACAAGCACCAATTTTTGTCTGCACTCTCTTTTCGATGTAAGAATTAAACTTAGTCGTGGATCCATCGAAAATATTTTCTCTATCTCATCAAAAAGAGCGTGCAAAAATTAGGTTAATTCGCATAAATTTAAAATGGCGGCGCTAAGTACTAAAATTTTAAACAACTCCAAATTCGTGGCCCTTGTAATGCAACTATAACCCGTGTTTGTTAAAGTAATGAAAAATGATGATAGCACTGAGTGCTGCAGTCCAGTTCGCTCTTCAGTCACACGAGTTTAAAACATTATTACGATTACAGACCGGCATGGACAATACGAAGATCTTAGTTTACCAATCAATCAAAACCATTACAAAATGTTCCACAACTTTAACCTTTCCAAACGTTAGAATATAACTTTTTTGAGAGATCTTTTACTGCAATCTACTCAAGATGCGTAGGCGAGATGGCGTGTACTGTTTGATTACTTACGCATGATGCTTTCTGATCTATGAAACTGTTCATTAAGCTGAAATCAGCACCTCCGTAGGCCAATCAAACTACAGAATTTTGTTGGGCAGGCATGATTTACATAATAAAAATATTTAATTAATGACAAAAAATCAATTCATTTTTTGTTCAATAAATCTTAATTACCCTTTTTTTACTCTGAGTTAACACGCTCTCAAAATTAAATGATCGTCATGGGTTGTTTTAATAACGCATTCCAGTTAAACAGAATATTTTCCTGGCAATTGCGGGGAGTATCCAGGAACTTTCGAAAACTAGTTATTTGAGCAACTAAAGAAGATCGTTCTTAGTGCCTCCTTCTTCCTCTTAGATCAGTTACTTAAACTACTCCTGATTTGAAAATTACGACTGACAGTTACTGTAAATCGATATGTACTTTACACACCTAAAGTTCCATCTCCTTTCATCTCACTTGTCTGCGAGCGCTGCAATACGAATTGCAATTACAATTGCAAAGCGGGGAACACTTCAAGTTCACTTTGCGACATTTGCAATTGGAACAGTCTCCCTTGTATGTACACTGATTTAATCTTGACAGGCTTTAGATAACTCTGGAACAGTTAGCCAAAGTGGGCTCCACACATTGTCCACTTGTTCCCAGCCATAGTCGCTTGGGGAAGGAATCATCTGCTGTACTTCGGTACTTGTAACCCAGATAGAGGCTTGGTAAACAGCCCTCTTCGTGTGTTGTAGGAGGGCATTCTGCGTCGGTGGCATCCTTTCCATCGTGACGTTCTTTAGACAGAACAGTTCCCTCCTTGTCTGGTTGATTGAAAGTGAAGTGCTCGTTTTGCCTTTCCCTCGGGGAAGACAAAGTTTGCCACTTTATAGGTAAGAAAGTCAAACAGCTCTTTCTTGTTTGATGAATCATGCAGAAAGTCTGACCAGTTTCGTGGTAACTTGGTTTCTCCAGATAGAGCGATTTTCGTATGACCTTGAAATGAAAAGGCGCGAACAAAACAGAAACAACAAACGAACGGAAATAGAACGATTTGATTGGTTTATCGAACGGACAGACAAACGCGCCTGGCTTTTGATTGGTTAAGCGAACGCTCGTGTAAACTGCAATTCTGAAAGTAATTTTCCAAAACTTCGGGCAACAAAAGCTTGAAAAAGTGTTGAAACTGGACAGCTGTTAGGATGCTAGACTGGAGGGTAAATGCTTCAGAAGGAATTTACAAATTTGGTGCTGCGTACCCTATCCAAAAAAGGTATCAGATTTTGGCAGATTATTCAACAAGTGGAAGTTTTGCGGTCAGTGCACGAGAAAACCGCGTTTGTTACAACACCGCACGGGCAATTTGTGAAAAGTTTATTGCGACCGGTGATTGTCAAGCTGGAGCAAGAGGGAGGCCAGCTAGCAAGATGCAACCTTTTATGGTTGCCTATCTGGAGGCTATGATTTTCGTGAACCCTTTTTTGTACTTGGAAGAAATGCAAGGCAGACTGAGAGCTGACCTGAACTTGTTACCACACGAAGTTCCGTCGGTACCGGTTATTTGCAGGACACTGCATGATCTCAATTTAACGAAGCACAAGTCAACTAAAGTCCCACAAGAGCGATTTACACCGTACAACTTGGTAAGAAGACAAGCTTACATCCAGTGGCGGAACCGAAAAGATCCAACAAAACTGTTTTTCGGAGACGAGACGGCCTTTAACAAGCTCACTGATGTACGAACTTCAGGTTGGTGCAGTATTGGTGACGTCCTTCCGAGTGTAGAGCCAAAACGAGACGTAAGAGAAAAAATATCGGCCTTTGCAGTGGTAGGTTACAACGAAGGAATTGTTAATTGCTACCCAGTTCCCGGTAGCTTCAATGCAGTTTCCATAACAAATGCCATCGAGTATCACTTCTTACCCTACTTACCAAGAGATAGTTTTCTGGTTCTTGACAATGCCTCGATACACAACGACGTTGCTGTGCAGAATGTTTTGGCGCGCAAGAACATAACCCTCGTCAAAATGCCTACTTACTCTTTTGACTTAAATCCCATTGAAAGCGTTTTCAGCATCGTAAAAGCCAATGCACTGAAGACTCCGGGTTCCATTCGTGCTTACGGAATGGCAAGCGTTGTAAATGCTTTCGCAGGAGTAACAGTTCCAGTGGTACAGTCATTTTACAGGAGAAGCTGGCAAGTGCAATTCTAAGTGTAATTTCATTTAATTAACGAAACAGTTTTGTTATTCACCCTCATTCCGTAGTAACTGTTTTTACGTAATACGTAGCCACTTATTCGATCCAGCACATCTTACACCAAAATCGTTCATTTTACATCGCATACTTACTTTCAAGAAGGTATTTCTAGAACTCACTGTGGTTTTGTAAGAATTTCTTCAATAGACGCTATGGCTACAGTACTTTAATACCGAGGCAAGTGTTGATGCTGGACTGAGTGTAGAAAAGTAAATTAATCGGCATATACTTGCTTGAGCTCTGGGTTTAGTGTTGTCAAAATGTTCTTTTGACTAGTCGACCACGGTACGTATTTAAGCTTAACTTATTTGTTTAAGACTATATACTGTAGGTCGAGGCCAGGATTGAAGAGACCACTAGCTTGTATGTTTTGGGTGTCATTCTTGCTGTATTTATGATTATTATTATTTACCAATACGGCAACCCCTCAAAAAGAAGATTATTAGCCGGTCGGGTACTATAAGAACAAACTTAAGCATTTAAAACGATTCTCCGATAATTTATTGAATGCACAGTAACAAACTAACATTCAACCGATCTACCCAGTACAATTTTGTTGCACAAAGTCTGGTTATGAAAAATAACCTGAATCCTTTCTTTTAAATCAAACCTATAAGCCAGTTGTTGGTCAAGTTCTGTAAATTTAATCAGAAGCATATGATACATAATTTGTACAAAGTTGTAAATATTTACACAATATGATGCCAATTATAAGTGACAATTATTACAATTTTGTTTTAGTCTATCATTTGGCACTTTCACAATAATATAACTTGTAACTAGCAAATGTCACTTGAAAGTTTGTGAATTGTGCGCTATGACATGGGTATTATAATCTTCTTGGGCAAAATTGTGTTATTGTTATGCTTGAAAGATAATATCAGGTAAACTTTTGAATGAACAGCAAATCTTTCTAAAAGAAACAGGAGGAACTTGACAAAATTACATCCTGTTAGTTTCATTGAATTTAATTTTTGAATAAATAAATTTTTGGACAATATTTGTAATTTTGTTATTATTTTTTGTAATTTTTGTAATAAATTGTAAAGTGCTATTAGACATAGCTGGAAAAGGCGCTATATAAGTAAAGTATTATTGTTATTTTTTTAAAGCGTCAAACCATCCTGGCCATTCATTAAGCCAAGAGCACTTGTGATAGTTTCAGTGCTTGAATGCTGGGCTGTCAACCCCCCAAATGACATCATTTGGGCAAAAACTACTCGTTGACTCCAATTGTCACCAAATTTGTGATGACACAAAACTCACAAAAACCAATCAGATTATTAACAATAGCATACTGGAGGTCATGAGGAAATGTTCTATGTTGACATTAAAATAGCTCAAACAATATGCAAAATAGTTGAAATTGTATTGTTGGAAAGTCGAGGCTACTGAAGAAATGACATACTTCAATGATTATCCGGGAGATTTCATTCTCTAATCTGGAGAAAGGGAGATTTCTCCAGAATTTTCCAGGAGAGTTGACAGCACTGCGAATGCTATTGACACAAATGTGTATTAAGCCTTTTTAAAGTACCAGTGAATATCCATGTAATGACCCCTTCAGTTAGTAATTAGTAAATAAAAAAATGTTAATAATAATATGTTACTTCCAATATGAATTTTAATGCAGCCAATGTTGCCGCAATTGTTGGCTCAAACTTATAAATTTCTTCTGAATCATATTTTACCCTCCAGTCTGGCATCCTAACATCTGACCAGGTTCAACACTTTTTGTAAGCTTTTGTTGCCTGAAGTTGTGGAAAATTACTTTCAACAATGTTTCTCATCATGCATTTGCATACCAAAAGCCATGTATGTTAACTTTGTACTTTTTTGATACACCAATCAAATTGCTCCACTGGCGTTTGTTTGTTGTTTCTGTTTTGCTTCACATAATCATTTAAAGTCATATAAAAATCGCTCTAATGAAGTCAAGTTTACAGAAAGTGTTGCCTCAAAAGAGTGTATTAATACTTATGATGAAGTTTTCAGTGCAACAAGTGGCATAATTATTGTTTTAATTTTTGGTCATAAATTCAATAAAATGCCTTGCTTTATTACCGATCAGTGGCTTTCTTATTGTGAATACAATCCAAACCTTGGTAGCCTCAAAGTTGACTTTGAAGATGTAAGACAATCATCAAGGTTACAAACAACAGAGATACAGTGCCAAATATTGGAATAGCTTGCACAACAGGCATCATTGAGGACACTCAGATGGGTTTTGGGCATGTATGCCATTGGCAAGAATTGAACATACAATGACCCTTATAACTGTATTTTTAATCCTTTTTGAAAAGAATTTGTAGATTACAGTTTTGTTACAAATTTACCACATTGGCCATATTTGTATATGTCATGATAACCCTTAGACCTGAAGGCATTGGCACACTGTGCCATGATTTATGCATCTTTTTAAAACATTGTCAAATAGTTTCATGACACTGATGGGCAGCAATTGCAGGTAGACAAGACAACAATGCTGTGAAATGTCTCAGATTTATCCCTATCTCTACACAGTTTACTGTCTCTTTTAAAGTCTCAAAATACCAGTAGTTTTGACATGTTTTAAGACCATTTCACAACATCGTTTGCTCACCAGTCTGCAGCCTGTATTGGTCTCACACCAAGAACAATTTGGTACTCCTAAACAGAGTTCAAGGGAACAAAATATTTTTTTATGACTTTGTGTCAAGTTGCTGAGACTATAGGCCCTTTGTTGATCACATGACTGATTTCCCTTAGTAGAGCCTTGAAGCTAGAGTAATCTAACTTTCAAAAATGGAAAGAGTATGTTCGAATATTAGCAAGGACACCCATTTCCAGACCAATGCTGTACGATGCTGAGATATTGTGAAGGTCTTAACCTGTAATGAATTACAAGGTCATGTATCGAGTCACAAGGTCTAGCCTGTATTACTTTGAGAAATATAATTTTTTTTGGAAGACCTCTAAAATAATGATGGTTGAATAGCAAGAGTTCTTCCCACATGAAGATCCTTCTAATTTTCAAGACTACAGCAATTGCTACTTTTGAGATATAGGTCTGACAATTTATATGTTCGCTAATCATAAAATGCTTTAAATCAACTTCTGTTAAAAATAGTTTTCCAAAAAGTATTTGTTTTGAATTCATTTTCACAGATAAGAGAACAATCAGGTGACCATCATTTTTGTTGCAAAAGGCCTATTTCATACTGATGTCATAAGATTTTGTAAATGTTGCTTTGCAACATTGCCTATATAACTTAACTCACTTACTGGATGCATAAAAAAACACATGCCTCTATTCTTTTCCTTGGATGTTTGTCTTACATCCTCAACTTTGGTTTAAATGGTTGGCCACATGCAGGGTTTGGGCAGAGACCTCCCATGACACTCCCTGATAAATGGTGGCCACAGCGCTTACAGAATGCAGCTTTCCTTGAACCCGAGGCAGTGGATGTGCTGCTCAAGGCCACAGCAAAAGGATTTAGATCAGTATCAGGAATGTTACTGACTGCTCTAGTAACAGTCTGGGAAAAAGATATTACCGGGGAATCCCTTCTCTTGCTCTCCTCACTGACAGGTAATAATTTCAAAAGTAGATCCACAGTATCATACAGCTTATTATCACACGACTGCAAAGCTTTAGCAATGCCCTCTTGTTTAAACTGCGGGAACATTTGCACGAGGACATTTAAGTTGCTGTTGTTTACCATATTTTGAGAGGGACTTTCCAGGAGAATGGCATCAATTGCTTTCTCTACCTCCCCATTTGCACTTGTCAAGTGCTTTTTCAAATGTGGAGGTGATAGCTGGGGGAAAATGTTGGCCAAAAGAGCAGCATTCTCTACCTCCTCATTTGCACTTGTCAAGTGCTTTTTCAAATGTGGAGGTGACAGCTGGGGGAAAATGTCAACCAAAAGAGCAGCACTCTCATCACCAGAGCCATGAGCTGATGGAAGTCCTGAACCAGTATTCTGAAGTTCTGAACCAAGTGAGGATGGAAGTCCCAGGTTCACGTGCTCCACATCACTGTACTCAGTTAGCCCCAGGGCGTTTAATTCATCTCCTTGCCTTGCACTTGTGTTCTTTACACGACCGCTTATGGTATGTTGCCTTTCTTCCATCCAGGCCTTGGTGGCACGTGCCATGTTGGAAAGTGGGCTCTTCAACTTGTCTGCTTCACTCAAAGAGCTCATAAAGTTGTTAACAAACAGATCATATTTCGACATCTCAAGTCTTCTGCTTTTCTGTTTCTCTAAACAACAGTATATACATATATACACAATAAATTTAATATATTGTTAAATTTGGACCAAGTCACATCAGTTCAATTTACCTGTCATGTGTTCTTTTTTTCGTTGGATTTCTGAGAGGGTATTGCATGGTTCAATTCAATGTGTCAACATCCCTCCTGTCAACCCCTAAGACAAGTCCAGCCCTTCAGGCCTGAGGGGGGAATTGTTTGAAGCGGTCCTGTCCCGGGGATAGGGGGCAGGGAAATCAAAAATCACATTTTTGTTGTTCTTGTGAATTATGTCATTTCTGAGTTGACATGATGGTGCCAGACTGCATGGAGAAGACTCCTAAGACTGTTCTTTCCTGGGGAAATCTCAAGAATTTGTTGCAGTCTGGTTAGAAACAAATAACCACTCAAAAGTAAAATCTGTATTCTGAAAGGTATGCTTATATCTTCATGGTTCTTACAACTTCAGACACACAAACTTCAAGGACTTTTCAAGGATTTTTCAAGGACAACTTACAGTTTTCAAGGTCTTTAACCCCCTTTGATCACCCTATTGGCTAAAACACGTCATGGAGTCATTTAAAATAATATTGATAATAAATAAAACATTGTCCTTTTACTAAAAATGTTTGTACGTTGCCCGTGAATTTTACAGGTTCTTTCTGCCTATGAAGATGAGCCAAATTTTCCTCGGCAAAATAAAATCTAACTCTACAGAAAAAGGTGTATGCGTAGACAAAGTTGTGAATTTCAAGGACTTTTAAGACCTACTAAAGAAATCTATTTCTTTTCAAGGACCTAAACCAAATTCAAGGACTTTTCAAGACGACTACTAAAATTCAAGACCTTTTCAAGATTGTATGAACCACGAAATTTTTATTGTAGAACCAATGTGCATATGACGCATACTTGGATGGATGGCTTTCGTCACCAACAAAGAAATATTTCTTAAGTGAATTTATCTATATAACAAGACAACTTAAATAGACTGTATATAAATATGGATGCCCGGCTTGCAAAACAGAGATCTCAGTCTAGTGTTTTTATGAAATAGAAAACCTTAGAAACATTTATCCTGTACCCAAAACAATGTTATGTGTGGTTGATGAGGAGTGCAGGGGTGAGAAATTGTCTTTTTCTGTATGCCTTGAGGTGGGGAATAGACTGCCAAGTAATAAAACTTACAAATTCCCAGGGGAAGGGGATGGTTTACACGTAGAAATGAACAATGCATAACCCATAAGAATAATAACAGTAAGACCCTGAGACTAAGAACCTGTTAGGCTCAAATTTTGCCAGTTAAGCACCCTGTATACAGGAACCTGTTCAGCCTAAAATGTGAATCAGGCTCTTATTTTCTTAGCTCCCCACGCAGGATTTTTTGGGGAACTTATACTTCATCGCACCCACAAATGGTGTTTGTGGGGAGGGACGAAATAAACACGCCACTAAAAACCCCTGCGTGGGAGGCTATTATTTTCTTAAATGTATGAAAAAATTTTGTACACTTAAGCAAATAAGTCAACATTCAGAATCTTCTTTAGAGACACGGGTGCCTTAACACTCCAACTGCAATGTTATGGTTTGCAGCTTTTATGTAAGGAAAAAGCTGAACCACTGAATACTCTTAGCTATATTGTATCTTTTTTTTTCAGAAAGAACCTATATAAGAAGAGACTATGAGTAATCCCTATTTTTTTCTCAGAGATAGTAGAGCGAGCGAAACGCAAGCGCGTGTGAAAATCACCCCAGTCATGAAAGGCGAGGACTAATTTAAAACCTTAAACTAACTACCATTTATATGGGATCCTGTTTAGGCTAACTTAGAAAAATCCAGGTTCTTAGACCGTCTCTAGTTGTTGGTTTTACTGTATTACTTTTTAAGCAAATTTAATTTTTAACAATACCATATCACACTTTATTAGTAAGTGTTGATGAGAAGCCAGATAAGTGGGAAAAATTTGTCATGGCTTTACACGATGGCCGCTGATAAGTACACAAGCAATGAAAATAGTGACGTCCCAGATGTCAAAGAAAACTACTGAAATTTGATCCTTTCTCTCATTCAGTGCCCTGACTTGATAACAAAATTGTTAGAGAAGCATTACTAATAAAAATGTGAAATTTTAACATTAATGAAATCGCAAAACTGCACTGTAAAAGCTATTCTGAGAATGTATTTTAGGCAACATCGGGAAATCTGTCAAATAATTTGTGTGTCATTCACGAGAATTTCATGTACAAGCCAAAGTGCAACAAATTACTGTAACAACAAATTTTCCTGTCCAACATTTTTAAAAAGGTATACTTCAAATACAAATGGTACTTTCAAAGGCAATAAGATACCTTAAGAGTAACTAAAATAGTTGGAAAGGTAAATTAACAAAAAATTGGATCAAAAGATCATGAAGTTGACAACATACCGGCTTTAAGGGCAGTTGTGGACATCTTTTTTTTCGCCACTTCAGTACCCGAGTTCTTGTTTGCAAGTTGGATGACTTGCTCAATAGTCAGGTCAACGCTGCTTGAGGGTAGCAATGGTCCGGCCAGCTCGTCGGCACGTCTTTTTCGAGCTCGCTCTCGCGCCATTTCGTTGTGTTTTGCAATCTTCTCACACTCCGCGCACTTGCAACATTTAAAAGGGCATGCTGAATGTATTCCAGCTTTAAAACCATGTGCTTTGCACCTTCGGCAAAATCGTTTAACATTTGACGCGTCTGACATAATGAAATTTTCGGGTTTTTTAATTAAAGGACACGAGAAAAAATATTGTCAGATGGAGAGCCCAAAAACGTCACCATCAACAAAGTCACGTGATCAAAGTCTGGTCAAAGCCGCTTCAAGTGGAAAGCGTTTAAAATTTTCTTGACTTCTAATTCATCTCACAATCGACTAAAAGGGATACATAGTCTAACGTCCCACATGACACGACAAAAAAGCAAACTAAAATTCTTACTCGTTTTCGAGGACAAGAAGGACACTATTCACGAATAAACTCGCCAGCGTAGTAAGCGGCGTCACCACATGGGTAACGGAATCGGGCTCTCCATCTTCGTTCAGCACTTTTGGTGTAAAGATGAGCCACACATAACTGCTTCCATTGTTGTTTAATCACCAGAATTTGTAAGAAAACCAAATTTTCACAAGAAGAGACCAAAGTCCCTGAATGCAACAGCTAACTCCACTACCACCTCCACTGATCGATTGCATGCCCGAGAACTTTCTAGAAATCAGCCGATGCTTCGCTTTGACGTCATACTGCAACACGATTGGCCAATCGAACAGTGCCTTCTCCATATTAGGGTTTTCTTTGGCGGGAAAACGAAGAGTCCTTGTTTTGATCTTTTCAGACATTGGCTGATGAAACAAATCACGAACACTTACCATTTTTCAAGGTCATACGAAAGTCGCTCTACCTTTCCGCGGACCCCCTTTCCTATCTTCTGACGAGTCGACTCCTTTAAACTCTCTGCTCTGTATGTGTCCCATACAACGTCCAACCTTTCTGTTCCTTGTAGATGACTTTGCAGATGAGGGATGAATGCCTTCTCTGCATATTCTTTGAATGTTGTAATTACAGCGATGGACAAGCAGTGTACGATGACAGCACCATCCAGCTGAATGTTTCAGGTGGCTTAGATTCATGTAGTGGCTCAAGACATTTCATCAGTTCAGACTTTGTGCCCGGCAAATAAAGTTTGCCGAATTCTGACAATGAGGGAGGAAAGGATTGGACTTCATGAGAAAAGAATTCTTCCAAATCCCCTTCACGGCTCTTCATTGAGATATACAACTGACCAAAAAGAGACACATTATTTTCAAGAGCTTTAATCTTTTTTCCTTGCTTCGACTTAATATTTGGACTGGGTTTCCTGAATAGTGCTGGCTTGTTTAATTTAATGGGTTCATGAATAGGTCGTTTTCGTTCCTCCAGTACTTCTTTGACAAAGTTACTGTATTGTCCCTTCCCTGTGTCTTCAAGGGTGTACAATGTAGCTATGACTGATTCATGAGCGCAATCTCGACTGTCTAGGGATACAAGATCTGAAAAATCGGCCGAGAAAGGGTTCCCCATCTTCGTTATGATGCTAGAGAGACTAGTGACCTGCCTTTGGAAGGTTTTCTGTGTTGATAGACCCTGTTAATGATTCAGAAAGTTTTGGGGATTATCTGGATCGTTATCAGAAAAGTATTGGCTCTCGAACTGTTTTCGAAGTCTTGACAGCTCTGGTCCTGACAGCGTCCAGCGTCTGAAGGCAACAGGGTTTTCTGTAAGACCAATACAACCCCCGAGCCTTTCACGTTGCGGTTTTCTTGCTCGTGTGCTTGATTGAACGGAATTCCAGAGAATGTATTGGCCGTTTTCGAAATAACCCAGTTGCCCTGAATCTCAAACTCTTCTTTGATTGGTCGAGGCAAAGATTTCATATCTCTTATATGAACGGGTAGCCACCTTGCGTAATTGACATGGTCTAAGCCAAAGAACAGAAGTGCTAGTTCTTCCAAAACGTTCACGTACAAATGAAAGTTTCTCTCCCTGTGAGCCCGGACAAAGATGAGAATAAGAGTTTCGTATCGCAAAATAAGGTCCCAGAACATAAATGTTGGACTTTTAGCTGTCATCTGTAATCTCCAAGCTTCGGCTGTTTCTTCGTGTTCAGAGCCAATACAACTTAAGAAAGCTTTGCGTTGAAGGATACGCAAGGTTAACAGTGTGACTTGGTGGGCGTGTCTGGTACGGGTAAGGTGAGCCGCGTTCAACATCGATTGTGCAGTCCCGGCAGAAGTTACTTCAGCTTCTGATAGAGCTGATGTCCACCCAGACCCTTCCAGTAAATCTCCAAGTACGTTCCAAAGAGCCATCTCTGTGTGCAAGCCTCCCAACATGGCTACATACTGTCCTTCGCTGTGAGTGGCTGGAAAGTGCCATTAGACCAACTTTGCCAGGGTGAAGAGTGGCTGATCAAACGTAATGACTGGAATCTGACCAGGGTTAAGTAAATTTGTCGCTTGCTTCACTACATCAGTACCGTGCTTAATCATTGCAGGTGTAGCAGACTTCTCATAGAAGAGAGGTAGCATTGCACACAAGGCTGGAAGCCCATGTGTAGGCGTTTTTTGAGAGACGTGATAAGCTGCCCATGCAATAGCGTCTCCTTTCTCTATTTCTTTTTTCAAAAGAGAGATGAGATCTGCTGCTGGAGATCTGCTCCCATTCATTTTCCGCTTCTAGGGCTTTTTCCAGGCAGACCTTTGTTTGCTCCACCTTTACCTCTGGAACAACAGTGTTAGACTTTGCTATAGCTACAGCCGGGACAGTAGTATAGATTTCAGGTAGCTGAACATGCTTTCCACTCACGGAGGGAGGAACCGTTAAAGGCAGTCTACATTCACCCGGCTTGTTTGGGGATGGAAATTGGAACATACTAATACCAGTACCATGGAAAGAGCTTTGTGATGTAGTTGAACTGGGATTATGGTCCAGGTTGTCCAAAGCACCAACGGTAAACAGGCCTCTGTACAGGCAGACAGGGGATATAACTCCGTCCTCGTCAAAACGTATGCACATTGCTTTGGCAATCCAATCTTCAAGCTGTAAAACCCTTTCGTAGGAAATGCAGATTCCCAGCTGGTGTAACTGATTGATAAGATGCTTACTTCTGGTCAGGCCATGTATGTTCAAGCCAATGTAAACAGGGAGTGGTGGCTCGTGCTCTAGCGAATGTCTTGGTTTTGCCTCTGGATCAGCAGTTGATCGTTTCTTAGCGTTAAAGACTATGGCCTGGCCTATAGTGAGGCATGCTTGGGACTCTTGTTTCTCTTGGTTTTTCAGGTTGGGTCCATTGAGAATTAAGGAAATGAGGGTCTTGAGACTTGATGGCAGTGACGTGTCTTGACATTTTTCCGGAAAAGATCCGTTGAAGAGAATGCCTTCATGATTAAAAATGTCTTTCCTTATTATAGAAGCAGCCCTGGCCAAAATTAGTGCGTCTTCTGAGAAGTCTCTTTTCTTAACGAAGAGTCCTTGTTTTGATCTTTTCAGACATTGGCTGATGAAACAAATCACGAACACTTACCATTTTTCAAGGTCATACGAAAGTCGCTCTACCTTTCCGCGGACCCCCTTTCCTATCTTCTGACGAGTCGACTCCTTTAAACTCTCTGCTCTGTATGTGTCCCATACAACGTCCAACCTTTCTGTTCCTTGTAGATGACTTTGCAGATGAGGGATGAATGCCTTCTCTGCATATTCTTTGAATGTTGTAATTACAGCGATGGACAAGCAGTGTACGATGACAGCACCATCCAGCTGAATGTTTCAGGTGGCTTAGATTCATGTAGTGGCTCAAGACATTTCATCAGTTCAGACTTTGTGCCCGGCAAATAAAGTTTGCCGAATTCTGACAATGAGGGAGGAAAGGATTGGACTTCATGAGAAAAGAATTCTTCCAAATCCCCTTCACGGCTCTTCATTGAGATATACAACTGACCAAAAAGAGACACATTATTTTCAAGAGCTTTAATCTTTTTTCCTTGCTTCGACTTAATATTTGGACTGGGTTTCCTGAATAGTGCTGGCTTGTTTAATTTAATGGGTTCATGAATAGGTCGTTTTCGTTCCTCCAGTACTTCTTTGACAAAGTTACTGTATTGTCCCTTCCCTGTGTCTTCAAGGGTGTACAATGTAGCTATGACTGATTCATGAGCGCAATCTCGACTGTCTAGGGATACAAGATCTGAAAAATCGGCCGAGAAAGGGTTCCCCATCTTCGTTATGATGCTAGAGAGACTAGTGACCTGCCTTTGGAAGGTTTTCTGTGTTGATAGACCCTGTTAATGATTCAGAAAGTTTTGGGGATTATCTGGATCGTTATCAGAAAAGTATTGGCTCTCGAACTGTTTTCGAAGTCTTGACAGCTCTGGTCCTGACAGCGTCCAGCGTCTGAAGGCAACAGGGTTTTCTGTAAGACCAATACAACCCCCGAGCCTTTCACGTTGCGGTTTTCTTGCTCGTGTGCTTGATTGAACGGAATTCCAGAGAATGTATTGGCCGTTTTCGAAATAACCCAGTTGCCCTGAATCTCAAACTCTTCTTTGATTGGTCGAGGCAAAGATTTCATATCTCTTATATGAACGGGTAGCCACCTTGCGTAATTGACATGGTCTAAGCCAAAGAACAGAAGTGCTAGTTCTTCCAAAACGTTCACGTACAAATGAAAGTTTCTCTCCCTGTGAGCCCGGACAAAGATGAGAATAAGAGTTTCGTATCGCAAAATAAGGTCCCAGAACATAAATGTTGGACTTTTAGCTGTCATCTGTAATCTCCAAGCTTCGGCTGTTTCTTCGTGTTCAGAGCCAATACAACTTAAGAAAGCTTTGCGTTGAAGGATACGCAAGGTTAACAGTGTGACTTGGTGGGCGTGTCTGGTACGGGTAAGGTGAGCCGCGTTCAACATCGATTGTGCAGTCCCGGCAGAAGTTACTTCAGCTTCTGATAGAGCTGATGTCCACCCAGACCCTTCCAGTAAATCTCCAAGTACGTTCCAAAGAGCCATCTCTGTGTGCAAGCCTCCCAACATGGCTACATACTGTCCTTCGCTGTGAGTGGCTGGAAAGTGCCATTAGACCAACTTTGCCAGGGTGAAGAGTGGCTGATCAAACGTAATGACTGGAATCTGACCAGGGTTAAGTAAATTTGTCGCTTGCTTCACTACATCAGTACCGTGCTTAATCATTGCAGGTGTAGCAGACTTCTCATAGAAGAGAGGTAGCATTGCACACAAGGCTGGAAGCCCATGTGTAGGCGTTTTTTGAGAGACGTGATAAGCTGCCCATGCAATAGCGTCTCCTTTCTCTATTTCTTTTTTCAAAAGAGAGATGAGATCTGCTGCTGGAGATCTGCTCCCATTCATTTTCCGCTTCTAGGGCTTTTTCCAGGCAGACCTTTGTTTGCTCCACCTTTACCTCTGGAACAACAGTGTTAGACTTTGCTATAGCTACAGCCGGGACAGTAGTATAGATTTCAGGTAGCTGAACATGCTTTCCACTCACGGAGGGAGGAACCGTTAAAGGCAGTCTACATTCACCCGGCTTGTTTGGGGATGGAAATTGGAACATACTAATACCAGTACCATGGAAAGAGCTTTGTGATGTAGTTGAACTGGGATTATGGTCCAGGTTGTCCAAAGCACCAACGGTAAACAGGCCTCTGTACAGGCAGACAGGGGATATAACTCCGTCCTCGTCAAAACGTATGCACATTGCTTTGGCAATCCAATCTTCAAGCTGTAAAACCCTTTCGTAGGAAATGCAGATTCCCAGCTGGTGTAACTGATTGATAAGATGCTTACTTCTGGTCAGGCCATGTATGTTCAAGCCAATGTAAACAGGGAGTGGTGGCTCGTGCTCTAGCGAATGTCTTGGTTTTGCCTCTGGATCAGCAGTTGATCGTTTCTTAGCGTTAAAGACTATGGCCTGGCCTATAGTGAGGCATGCTTGGGACTCTTGTTTCTCTTGGTTTTTCAGGTTGGGTCCATTGAGAATTAAGGAAATGAGGGTCTTGAGACTTGATGGCAGTGACGTGTCTTGACATTTTTCCGGAAAAGATCCGTTGAAGAGAATGCCTTCATGATTAAAAATGTCTTTCCTTATTATAGAAGCAGCCCTGGCCAAAATTAGTGCGTCTTCTGAGAAGTCTCTTTTCTTTAAGGCGTTTTGAATCATGTTACGAATTCCTTCTTTGAAAACTAAGAAAGTGTTCCTGCCGTCGAACTGTTCTTGAGCTTCCTTGAAGTATTCTAACAAGGCGCTCCTTTAGCCTGGTCTTGTTTACTGATTTCGCATTACCTAGATCCTCCAGGCGACTTTCATATAAAGAGTGCAGCTCCGACAATTTAAACAGGAGTTTTCCAGAATTGACTTCTTTTTCTTAACTTGCAAGCTCGACGAACACGCGGGAGTTACACACGTTTTCATCAATATTTTGCTTATCCTTGTTTGATTTTCTGACGTGACTGCGATATCTGTTTTTCAATTCAATCAAGCATTTCAGATGATACTTTGCACTGATCGCAATAAGATCTCCTCCAACTATTCTCACAAGTAGTCGTGAATCATTAAGCTCTGTTATTATTGTTCTTATATTTGCGTCTGTCTCAAATGTAGACACCTGGCGGAGATCTCCATCATCTTCTCGAGCTCCCTTCTCACACAAAAAACACACCTCACTATTCAACCATTGTCGCTTACCGCGAGAGCTTGTTTCTGTCGAATCACTGCTGTGTTTTCTTTTCAGTTTTGCTCTTTCAAGTTTGCAGCTGCTAAATTTCGTATTGCAAGACTTATGCCACGACGCACGATGAAATTCCCAGTTTTCTGCAGTCTCATCACATCCAAATTTGACTATCACTGGTAGAGAATCACTATCTTGAAACTGCTTTACGTGATTGAGAAAATTCGTATATGCGTCTTTTTTATTTCCTTTCTTTACCGGGTTTTCCAAAGGACATTTTAAAGCTTCTGAGGTTTTTCTCTGGCATATAACACACAGGTTCCAGTCTACCTCCATGTTTTGCGGTCACAAGCTAAAACAAATAAGGAATTTCTATAACAATGTATATATGCTACAATGTTGGCTGTTAATTAAAACGGGCAACAACAAAAAAACGTGCAAACTTGTTTTGAAACATTGCTGCAAAACGAGTTGGATAGAGATGTTTCGCGTTTTACCACTGACGTTCGAACCTGTCTTGTAACAAATAAGGTTGCAAGGTTTTTTTCGTAGGTGGTAAAACGTGCAACATTGCTATTCAACTCGTTTAGCACCAATTTTACAAAACAAGTTGCACTTTTTTGTTGCCCGTTTCACCGTACTTTTAAGGAAAATTTCTTTATAATTCATGATAGCTTGGACCTCTATAGGTTTCTAAATATAACAACATTGTCTTTTAACTGCAGAACTACAAGTAACATTGTATACGTACCAGGTTAAGAAGCACTGATTTGGTCCCAACATAAAAGCACCACAACAACATGGCGTCTGAAGCAGCGCCCGAGAGTTTGAACATGCTTTTGTTTTGAGAGAAATTATTCAAATTGCACGCAAAAATCCACGTGGATCCACAGAGAAAAATGTTTAATAGTAATTAAGGAAACAATCTGGTGATTTTGATGCTTGTAGCCGCTGTGTAACGTTTCCGCAAAAATTTGGAGTTAAGCGACCTGACTAATGCGGGAAAGAATGACAGATCTCATTCTAGGATTGGGAAATAGTCTTAGTTCCGATTAGGTTGCTTAAATAAATGTAAATAGTTCAGGGTGAATCTTCTTTTATATTTCTGAAGCCTAATGACAGTGTTAGAGACGCTCTTTGCTAATAGAAGGCTGCGACGAGCTTTAAACAGGCAGCGTGGTTTGCTGACTAACATTCCACGATTTAAGTTATTTTTTCTTGTCGATTTGGTTGTTTCGATATAAGTCGTTTTCATACAGACTTAAGCAGTGAAAGTCAAACTACACAACAATTTCTACTAAGTACACTGCGCGAAACCAATAGCTCGACGTATACCGAAACAACCGGTGAGCATTTTGTAATGAACATTTTGCGAACATAAACGTAAAGGTTCAGAAAAACGGGCAACAAAAAACGTGCAACTTGTCTTGCAACATTGCTGCAAAACGAGTTGTATGGCGATGTTGCAGCGATGTTGCAAAACAAGTTGCACGTTTTTTGTTGGCCGTTTTTCCGTACCTTAAGGCGTTGCGGTCCTTGATTTATGAACTTGGAGTGAACGAATTTATCGATCGAACGCAGTACATTCAGAATACCCGGCCACTTGTCGAAACGGTTTTAGAACGAAGCATAGACACAAAATTGTCTTTTGTTTTTTTAACGAAATGCAAACAAGTGGCAGGGTGTTCAGTGACCTAGCCGAATTATAAGAGCAGAGTTAAAAATTTCCAGTTATTATTCAATATTTATTGATCATAAACACGGTCTAGTATGCGTCCTTGCTTTAGGAACCTTAATAGTAAATAAGAACAGAGTGTAACAGTGTACAGTAAACCTTAATAACAAAGTGAGGATCTTAGAGTCCCTGTATATATACGACGTAACAATGATTATATAGAAATTAGAAATTCAAGCGTAAAGGGAACGCAACATCTCTTTTCAATACCTTGCACCTTCTTGCTCAACCTTTGAAATGTTGTAAAGAATGTAACTATATTTGTGAAGTCTTCCTCTAAAAAATATAATTATTATTCAATATTGATCATAAGCGTCTATGCATCCTTGCNGTTAAAAATTTCCAGTTATTATTCAATATTTATTGATCATAAACACGGTCTAGTATGCGTCCTTGCTTTAGGAACCTTAATAGTAAATAAGAACAGAGTGTAACAGTGTACAGTAAACCTTAATAACAAAGTGAGGATCTTAGAGTCCCTGTATATATACGACGTAACAATGATTATATAGAAATTAGAAATTCAAGCGTAAAGGGAACGCAACATCTCTTTTCAATACCTTGCACCTTCTTGCTCAACCTTTGAAATGTTGTAAAGAATGTAACTATATTTGTGAAGTCTTCCTCTAAAAAATATAATTATTATTCAATATTGATCATAAGCGTCTATGCATCCTTGCTCTTACAGTCTACAGTAAACCCTTATAGCAAAGCAATGGATCTTAGGGTCTCTGTATGTATACCACGTAACAATGTTTAAAGGAATTATGAAGGTCATGAAGGTCTTCGAGAATGACAGAATTTGGTCAGGTTTATGGAAAAGCGAAGTTTTTGTCAAAGATAAACAGAATGTTGACGCTGCCATGAGAATAATGAAAACAGAAGTAAGAGTTTGCATGAAGGACTGGAGTGACTCAGAAACTATTGGAACTAGAACCTATTTAAAAATGGGGCACTCCATGTTACAGTCCTTCACTGAAAAAGACTTGACTGTGTACAAACGCGCGAAGCTTGCATGGGCACCCGTAACTTTCTTGCGATGTTAAAGAGTGTGGCTGCAAATTTCCAACTACGATGTCAAAAAGCATTTCATCTCTCAGCAAACCTTTGGCTCGCCGGACATGGCCTTATACTCGCAATGAAAATGTTTTCCGTGTACTACCCCAACCACCAATTTCACCCCTGGGCATTCGGATCACAACGTTGCAAGGATGTCTTTGCAAAATTGCGCTGCTTTTGCAGAGGAAAGCCAAACCTTGCTCAGGTCACCTGAGCACAGGTCCCAGAAGCGAGTTTACAACTGTGCAACTGACAATCTCCTTTTTTTCAAAGGAGCAGGTTTCAGCGACTAATGGAGATTCATCGTTTCCCCGAAAGCGTTCAGTTGCAGGATAGGTAACTGTTCTTTACTATTACGACGAGGAGAAGGAGAGAATCATTCATTTGCTCTTGCAAATACTTTTTATATTTGACCTGATCAATATTTATATGGACAACATAACTTATTATTATGTGATTGCTGCACTTATGTCAATGAATGCTTTTCTTTTAATTAATTGTGTAGGTATTTTGTATTCATCCCTACTTGGATTAATAATGTTACTATTGACCTGTTACATGTTTGCTCGAGCAAACGTTATCTCAGTTTGTAATGACGTTGATTCTCAACATGCCATTAATGTCCCCCTACCCATGATAGTGTGAAGCTTAATTTGGAACTTCGGTAGACTAGAACCCACTTAACCTGTTCGTCTCTTTCGAATGGTTCCCTTCGTTTGCAATATGTGGTTTTCGTTGCCTTGTAATATAGCAGAGAATAGAAGTGTATTTTAACATATGTTTGATGAAGATTGAGGAAAAAATGTTGTGTATGGCAAATAGAGACGCAAACAGGATGACAAACATAAAAAACGATATCTTGGAAAAGAAAGAAATGCCGAGAAAAGTTAGGGATTCTTCTTAAATTTCAGGTTCTTTCTACTCTATAGATGTTTTAAGTTAAGTTTTAAAATTATCGTTGTTGTTACAAATAAAATGTCACGTATAACAGAAAATGTGTGCATTAAATTAACATATTTTACGAATACTTATAGCTAAACTGTTGGCTCCAAACGTTACATCACGCATAAAATATTTCACACCTCGCCTAATTTTCCAGCTGTTTCATTGAAGCACAACAGTGGGGTTCGTTTTTCTTACACACAGATCCATAGTACGTTTCTATAAATTTTAAACTCGCGCGAAACGTGTGGGCGAATAAACAAGCTTACGTATTGCTACTCGCTAGTTTTTATACTGAAATAAAAAGCAATGATATCAAAATGTGTAACTTTATTAGTACTTCATGAAATTGACAATTGAAATGTTTGACTGAATAGGTAATCGATTGATATTGCATATTTGATAATAATCTATTATGTTAATAGATCGATTCCCATCGATTGGTATTGATAATCGATGATGATGAATAATCACAAACATTTTCGTCATCGATTATCAACATCAATCGATTAATTGATATCAATTGTTATCGATTGCCATCGATTATCAATTTCATAGATTGTTCAGGTCCTGTTCGAGTCCAAGGAAACAGATATGGAACGGCATTCGATCGCAGATCTCTCCTAGCGCTGAGCGTCTTGATAAATTCATGCTCTCTAAAATGCCTTGAGTAAACTTTAGTCCATTCCTGTACCTGAAAATACACTCCCTCATCTCTTCTAATAGCATGAATCCATTTTTCCGTTGAAGTGGATCATCTGGAAACTTGAAGTGAGAAAAGTTTTCTCCCATTTTCGTTCAGATAACCTTTCTTTGTACATTCAGGAACACCTACAATCGGCAGCAAAATTGTTTAGACACAGACCTCAAATGGGGTACTTCGATTTCAGGGAAGGAAACAAATTTCACCCTCCTCCCGCCTCCGTTCTGTTTTTTCACACAGGTGGCTATAATGTATAAGGGTGCAAAATTCCTTAGAGGGGATAGGGAAAGGCACAGCTTTAGGGAAAAGTGCGTCAACTAAGTTTGTAAAGTCAAACCGCCTGTCAGTTATTTTACAATAACAAAGTAGATAAGCAAACTGCAACAGTTAATTAACGTCTACCGAGGAAGTTCCTTCTGTGAGGGTTTGGATAATTTAACAAACTGGTCATGTCCTTCTTGTTCCCTTTTGTTTGGAACACTAAGTGTCGGAAGAACAAAGGAAAACCCAAGGAAGAGGAAGTGACAATTGTAATAGGTTTGTTGGAGTGGAAAGAAAAGAGGTTGAAACCAGCAAGGGGGACACACAGATACTTTCTGAAGCAGTTAAAAAGTGGAAGGCATATCATAGTGACCTCTACATAGAAGATGAAGAGTACCTCCTTGTATTTTGAAAGTGTCAAGCAAGCCCAGTTTATACCTGAAACGGTTGAATTTTTCACCCTTTCGAGGTATCGAGGAAATTGGAAAGGATTACAAACGAATTGTCTTGTATCTCTGCTCACAGATGGATGGAAACTCTGCTGAACACGGATATGACTCCACTGATGATGAATATTCAGCTGAAGAAGGTAAAGCAAAAAGAGCTAAATTACAGATCAAGAATGACGAGGAGTCG